CCCTGAAAAGGCGTCCGAAGACAAACCCTAATTTTTAGCATATTCGCCTCTTCTGCAGCCTCCTGGGTCGCTCCAAGACGGCCCAAGAGGCTCCCAAGGGAGCTCGCAGACGGCCGAAGAGGGCCCCCAAACCGTTCAAAGAACCAAGAGAAACAATTCAAGAGGGCACCCAAAGGCCCTCTGGACGGTCCAGGAGGTTCACGAGCCGCATAAAGATCCATCGAAAACGCACACGTTGGCCTCCAGACGTCCCCAGCAGCCCCAAAGACGGCCCAAGAAGCTCTCAAGAGGCGTCCCAGGAGGGTCTCACAAAGCAACACTCGCCCCAATCCCATGCGAAAGCTTGCGCGCTCACAACGTACAAAGACCTCCTGGATCGTCCAAAAAAGATGGACCAAGATGCCCCCAAGAGAATTCCCAGACGGCCCAAGAGGGCCCCAAGGCCGCTGAAAAAGTCCTCAAGACAGCCACGGAGTGCTCCAGGACAGGCCCAAGAGGGGGCCCAGAGGGGGAGCCCGAACGAACATGTCGAGCCTTCCCCCAAACCGCCCTCCGGCTGCCCCAGGAAGCCCCCCCAACACGCTCCCAAGGAGCTCCGAGAGGCCCGAAAAAAGTTCCCAAGAAGCCGCCGGGAGGGTTCCGAGTGGTTCAAAATCTGTTTCCCAAACGCCCCCGAGACGCCTCCAACTGGGGGGTAGATCCTAATGTGTTTCTAACGAGGAGGAACGCGGTTCAATATCTGTTGTACACTTTTGGAGCCAAGACGACGGGCAGTGACGAGGTGGTGACGGGGCGGCGACGGCGACGACATAGCCGCCAGACCGCCACACCAGCCCAGACGACGGGCGGCGACGAGGCGGTGACGGGGCGGCGACGGCGACATAGCCGCCAGACCGCCACACCGGCCCAGACGACGGGCGCTGACGAGGCGGCGAAAGCGATTATATAGCCTCCAGAGCGGCACACCGGCCCAAACGACGGGCGGCGACGAGGCGGTAGCGGGGTGGCGACGGCGATTACATAGCCGCCAGAGCGTCACATCAGCCCAATTCCTTATCCCAGAAATAAGAAACCCGAAGTGCAAGCACTGTTTTTGGAAAGTACGGCTGTAAGGAATCGATGGGAACGTTTGTCATCGAGCTTTGAGCTTGCTGAAGTGCCCCAAGGCTTGTGTTGTCCGCCAGGGTGGTACGACACTGTCGTTGGCAGTGCTGGCAGGCTGGTTAATTATGTGATGTGTCAATCGTATGTGCACATTGATAACTGCACTAGCGCTCGCGGTAGTGCCCTGTAACGCCCTGTCGGGAGCTGGAAACCAATCTGATCGAATCACTATTCGGAATATCGCTGTCTCGCCTTACTCTCATCTCGCAATATTTCTCCTCCTCCATGCTTATGCCGTACCTCGTGCTCCTCATCCATGTGCTTTCGACATCGGCCTTGCCTCCCCCACTTCCCCATCCCTCCCCCTCCTCCTCATCAGATTCGCTCTTCCTCCGATCCTCCTCCAGCCACCCCCTCCTCCTCCTCCTCCTCCTCCTCCTCCTCCTCCTCCTCCTCCTCCCCCTCCTCCTCCTCCTGCTCCTCGACCTCATGGGGCTCCTTTTGCTTGCTTCTTGCTTTCTCTCTCTCTCTCTCTCCCGCTCCTCCGCATCTTCCTCCTCCTTTGCCTCCTCGTCCTCTGTTCCCTCCTCCTCCCTCATGCTCCTCCTCCTCCTCCTCCTCCTCCTTCTCTCCTCGGCCTCCTCCCTGCCCGTCTCGACCTTCTCCTCATCCGTTCTCCTCCTGTCCTCCGCCTGCTGCCCACAGCTCTCGGCTTCCCGTGCCTCTCCTGCCCATGGAGGCGCAGGGGGGGAGGTCGAGGAGAGCCCGCGCAGACATCAAAAGGCCACGGGGGGTCGGGAAGCCAGGAGCCCCAAGACGCTCCAAGAGCCACCACTTGCCGTCGCTCGGACGTCCATTTCCCGTGCATTTTTCGGTTCCGTGCGTGTTGTTTGTTACTCGATGGTCAAGGATGATCCTCGATGGTTCTCGCCGAGAAAAAGTGCACACGTCCGAGCGATGCCAAGACCAAGGAGGCCACAGGACGGACCAGGACCTCCCAGGAGGCCGGAGGAGAGACTACGGGCGGTCGAGTAGGCCCCGCCTCCTCCGCCTGCTCCTGCTGCTGCTCGGCCTCGTGAGTGTTCCTGCTGCGGGCGCGGGCTGCCCGCAGCTGTCCGCACGGGGCTGCACCAATGGTAGCCCAGATGAGCGACGCGCAAGCGGTGGCCACTCCAGGGGGTGGGAGGCGGCGCCAGCCGGGTGATCCCCCCCTGAGACCCGACGTTGCGAAACAGCGTCCTGGCGAAGAACCTCACCATAGGCAGTTGTGGGTGGTGTGGGGCTAGTGAAGGGGGTGGGGCAAGCAGAAAGGACAAGAGCGCGGAAGAGAAGGTCAAGAGCGAAAGAAGGCACGGGAGGGCGGGACGGAAAACCAACCAGGTGCTCGGAGAGCGCTGTCTTTCAGGCGCCCGCTATATTCAAATATGCCACCTGTTCCAAGGTGCAGGGGCGCATGGGAGATGCACAGCGCAGGGGAATCCTCGCGACACGCGCTGGTCGCCCCGACGGAGTTTCAGCGACGCGCGATGGGGCCACGACATGAATGAGGGGTGTGCCGAAATTTGCGTGGTGCCAGCATGCGGACCCTGCCACTGGGACTTTCGGCAGCACTCACTATTGTGTCACAACGCGTGTGAGGAATGTGCCAAGCTTAAAACCAGTCCGTATAATGAAGATGCGCGAGAAGGACGCAAGGGCCCTGGAAGGCCATGTCGACGCGTTGCGAGCGGGGCGCGGCCAGCGAAAGCGGCCAAGAATGGGGCGAAGGGGAAGGATGCAAGGGTAACATTGCAAAATCGCTCATCCCTACTATGCGGGTTGACTGTAGTGCAAGGCCGCCATGCGGACCCTGCCACGGGGGCCTTCGGCGAAGCACCCATAAGCCGGTCGGCACGCCCAAAAGGGAGATGGGTGCGGAGTCGCTGCACGGACACACCGGGGGTGGCTCCCAATGAGGCCGCGATAAACGTGTGCGGGGTGCGCCGAAGCAGATACACGGGAGAGGAGTGGGAGGAAGGAGGCCATGAGCGATGATGTGACGATGCTGGCAATACTAGTGCTGACGATGATGACGGAGATGGCGACAGTGCTGCTCCTGCGTTGGCGGCAGTGGTGGTAGATGGTGGTGATAATGATGGCGATGCGGATGATGAAGTTGCTGACGATTATGATGATGGTGATGATGATGATGCCTCTGCTGATGGTGATGCTGCCGATGATGCTGATGCTGGTGATGATGGTGATGTTGGTGATGATTGTTATGGTGATGATGATGGTGGTGGTGATGCTAATAACGATACTGGTGACGATGACGTTGGCGATGACGACAACGATGCTGCGGAGGATGCTGATGGTGATGGTGATGATGATGATGACGATGAATATGACGATGACGGCGGTTATCATGATGGTGATGGTAATGATCATGGTGATGATGAGAATGATTGTGCTGAAGATAATGTTGCTGATTATGGTGATCAGAATAACGGTGCTGATGATGGTGGTGGTGATGGTGATGATGATGCTGGTGGCGTTGATGATAATGATGATGATGCTGCTGATGATGGTGGCGATAATGGTCATGCTGATGCTGATGATGATGACGATGGTGATTAATGGTGGCGATGCTGCTGATGAATATGATGATGATGCTGATGGTGACGAAGATGATAATAAGTTTTGGCTGATGGTAATTGCGGTGTTGCTGATGATGAGGTAAATCATACAGAGGAGGAGGGGGAGGAGGAGGAGAAAGAGGAGGGAGGTGAAGAGGAAGAGGTGAGTGACGCGTGGCGTTGCGGATCCAAGACGAGGACCCGACAACTCAAGATGGTTGGGGGAAAATGTGGCATCGCAGAAGATCACGACCGGAGCCCTAGACCCCATCTTCCTGCTGGATCTTTTGAAAGGATCGGTCTGTGATGGTCCCGAGCCCCGAAAACTGTCAACGACGCCCGGAGAGAAAAAATAGCAACGCCTGGATCTCAGGGTCATCATCGTCCCGCACACCCCTCCCTGGCAAACTCGTCGGGTGCGTGCCGCTTTTGTCGAGCGCGAGCTGCCGCAGAGAGACGCTCCTGGCTGTCCGCAGGCAGAGCGCACAGGGCCAGGCAGGACGGCGCCGCCCAAACTTCGGGGGGGCGCCCACACCCAATTCAGAAGCTGCACGTGGCTGTCGAAACGGAGAAGGCTTCTTGGGCCGTCTTGTGGCGACCTTGCGGCCATCTTGGTGCATCATCTTGGGGGCATCTCCGCCCGACTTGGAGACACCTCGGGGCCACCGTGGGCCCTCTTGGGGCCATCGTGGCCATCCTGAAGACCTTCTCGGCCGTCTTGGAAGCCCTCTCAGGGCCGTCTGGAGCGGGAAGACAGACGACCTGGGAAGTTCACGGGTCATGGAGCCGCAGAGGCGAGCTCTCCACGAGCGTAGGGGGAAGAAAGCGAGAGGTGGGGGCTCACGGGGAGGAGCGTGCGCCAAGCAGGCCTGGAACATGCCTGGAAAAACACGCCCCGCGGGGGGACGCTGGGCGCGCACGCGCAAGACAGACAATTGCCCAGATTCGGGCAGCGCTTATTCAACCATGCTCCCTCCAGCTGAACTCGACCCAGGCAATGCCAAGGGGCTCACCACTAAGGGGTCGCCACTTGCTCGGAAATCAACCACTTTCTCTCGAACATGGGGCCAAAGCACTCCTGAAAGTATTAGGCACTATGTTAACGCTATTCGGCGCTACTCGGCGCTATCTGGTGATCTACAATGGATCCAAGACGAGCGGTCGCTTCAGCGATTGACCATCTGACCTTGGCACTGCCCGATCGACATCCTGGGCGGCCGCAGCCCTGCTTCATTGATGCCACCGGTCCATCGAGCTCCTCTGGACAGCAGCGCGCGACGGTCAGCGGGCAGAAAGCCGCGGTGACAGCACGCTTCTCGTGACGGCGAGCAGGAGATGCCGGGGCTAGAAAGTGTCGGTCTCCTGAAAGACCCCCCGCCCCTCTCCTCCTACTCCTCCTCCTCCTCCTCCTCTTCCTCCTCCTCCTCCTGCTCCTCCAGCTTCTCCTCCTCCTCATCATCCTCCTCACCTCCTCCTTCTCTTTGTCCTCCTCCTCTTCCTGCTCCTGCTCCTCCTCCTCCTCCTCCTCCTTCTCCTCCTCCTCCTTGGAAAAGCTTCGGGCTGCGCACAGACAGCCTGCCCCAGAAAGTCCCGGCTGGCCTCAAAAGGTGCAGTCTGGAGCGGGGTCTCATTACACCCCAGACCTGGGGTTCGGAGCGCCCCAAGGGCGTCGCCGGGGGCGGCGCCAAGGTGTTGAGGCCAACCTCACATGACCCCGAACGCCCAAAAGCATCCTCGAGCTTCGATCCTGGAATCTCGATCCTCGGGAGGAACTGGTGACACCTTGCAGGATCCTCGCGAGTCTCGATCATCTCAATCCTCAGTATCCCCAGGAATCTCGAACCTCAGTAAGAGGCCAACCCCAGACTGCTTCAGGAGCTTGTTGGGGCTAGCTGGGATACCTTGCGGGGGGAGCTGTGCGAAAGCCGACCCCTTACCACACATCTTCCAACTCCATCTCCTCCTCCTCCTTCAGCCTCCTCCAGCCACCTCCAACTTCCTCAACCCCCTCCTGCATACTCCTCCTCCTCCTCCTCCGCCTCCTCCTCCTCATCATCTTCTCCCTTATCCCTGGCCCCTCGTGGCTCGCCGCCGACTTCTCGCGGGCGTTGCACTCCGGGCCGCCCCTGCGCGGGGGGGCGTCGAGCCCCGCGGGGTGCTGCTGCGGCCGCGGTCCAGCTGGTGGTACGGCGGGGGCGGTCCCGAGGCCACTGCCGCCACTGCTGGGATGGCGGGGGGAGGTGCTGAGGAGACAAAGGGTGATTAGCGGCTGCCCCACCTGAATCACAAGTGGGTTGCACATGCCCCATGTGGCCAAGGGGGTAGATAACTCCACTATAAGCGGGCTGAGCCCGCTTATGCTGGATCGCCACCTCCCGCGAGTCTGCGCCACATATAGCCCACACTGGCATCCGCTTATACCCCCCCTGTCCCCTCAGCAGCCCCGCTGTCATCCCAGTAAGGGAGAGGGGGGGGGCAGACATCCTCGCGTCGCGAGAAGCATCATGACAGGACCCTGAAATCTGGTCGTTCCAATAACTCAACTCTGGGTAGCTTCGGGCCCAGGGCCCCTCGCAGATCGATCTGGCTCAGAAAATGCTGCTGAAAGATTGGGTCGAGGACTCAAGTCGAGTTTTTTACGATGCTGCAGTCTGTTCGTGACGTCGAACCTGAGGGCTGCGTCGCGAAAACATACGCCAAATAATTGTTTGGCAATATTCTGCCTCTGGGTGCCCTCGCCTGGCCCCGGGAACGAACGTCAAAACAATCCCGGGTGAGAACAGAGAACTAGACGATGGCATGAGCCTAGCAGCTAGGTCCGCGCAGATTTCTTGGATCGGCGCCGGAGGCGCCACCAGAGGGGTCCAGCGCCGATCCAAGAAACCCGCGCGGACCTCCAAGCTGCTAGGATTCTTTCGGCGTTGCTCTTCTCTGGAAGAGCCAGTCCTGGGAGAAAGAGGCCCAGACCTCGGGGGGGCCACGTTGTATCAAAATGATGGCGTCGGATACCGGCGGGGGGGAGGCCTTGGGTCCACCAGCAGGGCTATATATAACATAGCAGTCGGGCCGCATCTGAGTTCAAATTCCAGTGGAGGTTATAAGAAGTCCAGATAGGTGTATAAGTCTGGAGTCGGGGGTTTACTGACCCGGGTCAATCCACATCCAGGTCAGTCGGGCTATGCTGGATCCTGCAGGGTCCTGCAGTTTCCTGCGCCCTGCCCCGGTCAGTGCGCCCCTGGCTCTGCAGGATCCTGCAAGGTCCAGCGCTCTGGCTGACCCCCGTGTACATTGACCCTTGTCTCCTGAGGCCCGATGGAGGGCTACTGGTCTCAGCCCTCCAGGGGATGAGGAAGAGAGCAGGGGGGGGCGGGGCGGCTACTCCGCCCCCCCCCCCCCGCTGGTAGTTCCAGCGGGGCCTGCCAAAACCCAACAGCCCGTAATCAGCAGAGCGTGGGAAGAAAACGATATGTCGCCGCGCCGCTGGTTCTCCACGCGCCAAAGTGGAGGACGGCGGCACCACGGCAAACCTACGACAAGCCCTTCGTCCCGCGCCCACGGCACCGCGGCAAATCCGCGGCGAACCCACCGCGTCCGAGGCGGCGTTTGCCCTGGTGGCCGCGGCGCCCTTCTCGCTTTCGGGCTCCCAGTGAGGAGCCGAACTCTATACACCAACGCTTTTTCCGACCCCACACTGAAATTCGCACAGGAAAGCGGATCCTGGTGTACACGTGATCCTGGTATATACATGTTCCGACGTCTCCACGGGGAAGCGGGGCAACGAGCATACACCACACCACCCCGACGTCGTCCCCGACCCTCAGGCAGTCCTGAGACTGAAAGGTAGCCCGCCACTGGTAATGTCGGGAGCGGCCAAGAGGGGGGTGTCCAAGAGGGGGGGGTGCAAATCATGACCGGCGGCATGTGCGCGGCCCAGCGGGGGGGCCAGGGACGTAATCAAATAAGAAGAGGCGCCATGAGATCTGGGGAAATATCATGCCCCCCGCCATGAGATCCACCCCCCCCTAGTCATCACCCCCCTCTTTTCCGCCCCCGATAATGTATATGCTCCAGTTGCCGACCCCAGGGCCTCCCCCAGGGCCCCAGGACCGCCAACGAAGCTGCTCGGGAGGAACAGCTGGTCCCGGGGTCGGCCGCCGGATTTTTGGGGACCGGGCTCGGTCCGCCGGGCCGCCGGGCCTCCTTGTGCCGCAGGACACCGGAGGAGGGGGGGGGGGGAGGCGGAAGGAGAGGGGGAGGCGAGGAAGGGAGGGGCGAGGAAGTGGTGGAGGGAGGAAGGGGGGCGGCGGGGGGGAGGGAGGAAAGGGGATGGGTGGAGGGAGGGCGAGGAGGGAGGGAGGAAAGACGAGGCATTGAGGGAGGCAGAAGCGGGGGAGGGAGGAGGGAGGGAGGGAGGAGGAGGGAGGGAGAGATGGAGCGAGGGAGGGCGCTCCTCCTGGTCTCCCCGTGCATGCCCAATCTGCTCAAAGGCTCCAGTTGGCGCGCCCCCTCCCCCCTGGGAGTGGGCACCGTCTGGCGGTGTGCCGCTCTTGGGATGGGGGGAGTTCGCCGGCTCCCCTTTGCAGAGCGCACCGTCCGGCTGCGCAGGAAGGGGGGGGGGCAGGAGGAGCAGGGGCCCCGAGGCGGGGCTCCCCCCCCCGCCGCGAAGGCCCTGGGGCCCGCGTGTCTCGCGGGGGGGCGGGGGGCGGGGCTGCTCGGGACCCCCCCCGTAGGTGTTGATGATGTTTTTGGCGCGGGTGGCGTACTTCAGGGACATGAGCGTCTCCTCTCAGCTCCGCGCGGGTTTCTTGGATCGGCGCTGGGCCCCCTCGGCGGCGCCTCCGGAGCCGCCCCTGGCGCGGTCCGCGTGCCGGTGACGGGGTTCCAGCGCCGATCCAATAAATCCGCGCGAGCCTCCGAAAGCGTATGTAAATGCAATTTTATGTTACTCGATCCTCGTAGTTGCAGCTGGCAGGGGAGCAGTTCACGAACATCAGGACCTTGGCGGAGCCCCCCAGGGAGTCCTGCAGTATCTGCGTGAGCTTGTGGTTCCTGTAGGGTATGACCCTGTGGCCCTTCTGGCGGGAGGAAATCCCATGCAGGTGCCCGATGACGCGCTTGCAGATCCCGAAACACGTCCATCACCAAGTGCGGCCCAAGACCGGCAACAAAAACTTGCAAAACTACTGGAACATCCAAAGAACACGATGCCTACAGGCTCATTGAAGTACAAACGAGCAAACTAACGGCCAGACTCCCGAATCACGTCATGCTCTGGCACGGGCGTGGGGCTTCCACCCGTGACCTTCGTGAGGGCCTCGATGACATCCCCTAAGGCAGTCAGCGACTTATTGATCTCGATGGCCTCGCTACAGCGCCAGCGGAGGGAGGAGTAGGCGGAGGATGAAGACGAAGAAGAGGGAGGAGAAAGAGGAGGGAGAGCAGGAGAGAAGGAAGGAGGGGAGGCAGAAAGCAGGAGGAGGACAACGGAGGGAGGATGAGGAGAGCGTGGAAGGAGGAGGGAGGAGGACAGAGGAGGATAGGGAGGTGGAAGGATGAGGCCGACGACGACGACGACCACTGCCTCCCTCTGCCTCTCGCCGGTCGACTCCGACTTCTTCAGGCGCTCCGACCCCGCGAGGTCGCAGATGATGATCTTGCCCTGGTGGCTCTGGGAGGTCAGCCTGTTCTTGCACAGGATCTTGATGATGAGCACCAGAGGGAGGCAGGAGGAATAGGAGCAGGGAGCAGGAGGAGGAGAAGGAGCGTCTCTTACCCTTGCGGCGTGCTCCATGGATCAAATCTGGTTCTGGATATGGTTGTGTCCCTCTGCACCCTGGCGGGCGCCTCTTGATACTATATTTGAGAGAGCGTGATCCACCGCCGCTTAACTGTGGAAAATTCCCCCCCCCCCCCCTCTTCCTCCGGAACCCTCTGAAAACCGGGGGGGGGGCCCTGATTGGAAAAAAAACGGGGTCCCCCCCCCTCCCCCTCTGAAAATCCCCCCCCCTGCTGGACCCCCCTCCTTTCCCCCCGGACCCCCCACCCCCTCCCCCCTTCCCGTCCCCCTCCGGAAAACCGGGGGGGTCACTACCGGTTCGAACACCCCCCCCATC